TTCGCCACAAGAGATTCTAGGGTATGAAGGTAAGATCAAATTTAATTGATCGATTTGCTGACCAATCGGATGTTAGGATACTTGAATGATCAGTAATATAGTTTTGATCAAGTTTTCAACAAAAATGTTTCAAAACGACAACAACGTTTTACAAAGAAGCTTTTTTTTAACTTCAAACTAATGTAGATTAAAAAATATTAAAATGCCAAAACTAGAGATGGGCAAAGTGGTCCCGATCCCAGTCCCAAATTTTTCACCGGGATCGGGATCGAGATTAAATTTGTTTTCGACCGCAATCAAACTAAAACAATTGGTCCTATTCATGTCTAACTGAGCATTTAAGGAGGAGGATATTAGTGATTAAATCGGTTACAGCATAGCAGCAGGATGTTTCAAACTTATAGACAGTGGTAGAGGATAATTTTAAGCTCTATACTGACAAAACTTCTGCTAGCTTCGGTACCGACCCTGAATTCTTTTTTTAACTGGGACCAAATGTTTTTTTGATCGGGATTGAGAAGGGACTAGAACCAAAATTTTTTTGACTCGGACCAGGATCGGGACCGAAAAATACTGGTCCCGCCCATGTCTAGCCAAAAAAAAAAGTTGAAAAGGGAAAGAGATCTGAGCGCATTTTGCAACATCCAATATCGATAGATTATAGGAAACCATAAGATTACCGTTTTCCAATATGTCAGGTGTGCAATATTGAGTGTTCCCGGGCAACGCCGAGTACTTCAGCTCGTCTTCTATATAAATGACACATGGATATGTTTATACCAAATTTGCAGTTAATTCACAGATTCTATTGTAAAATGATTATTTTGTAATGTTATTCATATTGACTTATTTTTATACGCATACTTTTTGCTAAAAAGCTTGAAACAAGCATAATCTTTCTAACCTTTTAAGAAATTAGTTATTTTAAAATTGTCATACCTTCATATGTATTGTGTATCGATAATCTAATACTATCTAATAACATTACTCAACAAAAGTTGATTTTTGTAAACGAAGATAGTCTTAGGATATTTTTGAGAAGAAAATTAATATTATAATTTTCATTGAATAAATCGTTATTTTTTATCGATGATCTATAAAAATGATTTAGGTTTATACACTATGCAATGCCGAAAAGAACAGAAGGATCTGTGAATTTTTCTCAATCAATTGATTATGATGATAGTGACAGTGATGGTAATGAAAACGAAGATAATATTAGTGATAATGATTACGAAGTTGAAAAGTCGAATAAAATTCATGAAAATCTTCCAAGTTTATCACAAATACTAATAGTTGCACGTTTATTAGGAAAGCGTGAATTTATTTTATGTCGAAATGGTACAAAAAAATTTTTCAATAAAGTACGTCAATATCGAGAATTATCTCAATTCGATAAATCAAACGACGTTAATTTTGGATCAAGAATGGGCAAAGCAGCAGAAATATTATGTAAACTTGCTGCCATTGCCGAAATATTAAGAATAGCTATCGAAATATTACAGTAAGTTAAATATTTTTTCTGAAATTTTATATACAAAAACAAAACTACTAGTAATTATAAGTTTTATATCATTTTTATTATTCTTGATGATATATATGATGACTCAGATTTTATAAAGAGTATTTATTAAATATTAGAAAAATTAAAGATTAAAATTATGAAAAACTATTTTTTTATAAATTTTTCAAAACATTTGACACATCATAATATTAACATAAAACTTCTGAAATTCTTTCATATTTGAAGATATTATAAACTGTTTTAGAATAGCAAAAGCGTTAGAAAACTTGACAAATTCGACGACTAGCATTCCTAATGTATTTGTTTAATTATAATAATCAAAAAATTACTTTCATAAAATTTCGTATTTGGGTATAATTGATTTTCATGAATACTGTTATATGTATTTTCTATTTGTAAAAATAGCTTCACATCATTTGATCATAATGTTATTAGTTAATTAGATTGATACTGAAAGATTTTTCTTTACACTTGATTACTATCTGTAATAATAAAAAAAAATTCATCTACAAACTAACAGCTACTCATTCTTAGAGCTTACAGAGCATAAGTTTAAAAAAGAAAGGGAAAGAAAACTATGTTGACAATCGAACATGTACTATTGACAAATTATTGAACATATTATTATCTATGAGATACTCAGCAGAGTAATAACATAAACTATAATTTTTCGTATGAGATATGACTAAAAAGAGATTTATATACTAGAATCATTGAAAAAAAATAGTTGCGAATATTTTGTTTGCAAAACACACACCAATTATATCATCATTTTGCTTTGAGTCTAAAAATGATAGAGGAGAATAACAAATCTATTTTTATATTACAGATGGATTAGAAACAAAAAGAATTTCTATTATGAAAATTTTAAATCTTAAATACTAAAATTTTCTCTATTGAAAAATCCAAAACTAGATCTAATTCCGTGACAAGCGACTAGTAGTAGTTCTTTATTTCATACAATTATACATATTAAGAAAAGATATAATATTCGAAAAAGTTCTTGATATATAAAATAATTTCATAGAACCCATTTCTCTGTGTATGATTTGATAATGCAATAAAATTCTAAATTTTCAACTTGATCTAAAGAACAATTCTATTTTTTATGAATTCGCTAATCGCTCACATCTATAAAATAACCGAAATGTTTATAAACAAAAACTAATGATATTTTTATTGGTTCATCGTCTCATTAGTCTCTAACATTGATAAAAATTTCAAAGAATTTTTATTTATGATTGACAGGATACAATATAAGCATAAAAAAACATTAAATTTCATGATCCTAAATCTTGAATATTAGTATTATATTGCATCTAGAGCGTGCATAATATTTCTTAATGTTCAACTATCATATTTGCTATCATCATTAGATGAAATCGAATATTATATTTCAAGACCATATACTTACCTGTTGCTTATAATCGTAGAATTCTTCGAGCTCAAAATCAACTTCATTATGATGATACTAGTCTTGTATTCATTCGAAATGCAACCAGTTTGATTGAACGTAAATATTCATCTTCAAACATTGTATTAGAAATTCACTCATCAAGTTGTCGTATTGCTGGTCAACTTGTATGTAGTCATCTGGTTAAAATGTTATTTGCATTATATAATATTGAGCCAGTTCGTCAAAATATGAACAAAATCAAATTTAATTCGATTTCTAGTAAAAATAACTTTGACTGATATTTATTTTATTGAAAATAGAATGATTTAGTTCATTCAACAGTACCAACAATTCGTCAACGCATTATTCAAATGCCTCAACTTTTTTTTCTAAAACGAGAGTTAACAGGATCTATGGGTTTACTTCGTCATTTTCCTACCGATTTGGTTAATACTGTTATTGATGAATTAGTAAATTATCAATTAATACGACGAGGACGTAAGTACAAAAATACTGCTCATATTATTTCGTGTATTCTGTCAAATATTTCAATGTTTACATAAAATAACCTTATATATGTTTTTTTCTACGTATTGATTTAATTGATTAGCATATATACGTACTACTTCGCGTGGCATAGTTCATATGAAATCATTTCCATCTGATAACATATTAAATGATCCAATAAAACGGAATATGATCAATCAATTATTGACTGAAATTAAAATGGATTTAACAAGTTACATGATAATATTATGTAATAGTAGTATTAAAGACAAACAAATATTAACTACAAATGGTATACAAATGTTATTACTTCCTGAACATAAACAATTATATGAAAATTTAAAAAAAAACTATCCAAATCATAATTTCGATAGTATGTATACAACTGAAAAATTTTACATTATTGAATTCAAATTAATATTGCATCGCATATTTATATTATTTTTCGTTTTATGTAGTTACAATCATATCAAATGATATCAATAATTCAAATAACAGAAATAATCAGTTATTAAATAATGACATGATTATCAATCAATCGTCGAATCATGAAATACAGCGTATTTATGAAGAAAAAATTATTTTTTCATATAGTGTATATTCATTTTTTAAAAGAAAAAACAGCTGTCATAACAAATGAAAATGTACCTAATCATAATGTTTTCCCATTACCTAATTTTTTAAATCAACTATGTACACAATTACATGCCAATACCAACATGAATCAATTTTCTAACATGTCATTATGTGGAAATATAAATGCAATATCATCTATAAGTACTCTTCTTTCATATATATATATATTAATAATCATAATTATTATAAACAATATAAGCTACTTAATCTTTTAGATAATAATTCAAATGCAATCCCCAATAAATCAAACATAAATAATGATATTTTTTCAACAATTGAATTAAATAATATTGTGTCTTTGAATACTAACGAAACTTTATCTACATGTACACAAACTAGTGTTGTTCCTACTGCAAACAGTATATTAATATTTAAAGGTGCATATCAATATATAATTCATATTTTGTAGAAATGGCATCTAAAGGAACTATTGGTACAAAAGACACTATTCAAATACTTGATGGTATATATTTTTTTTAATAAATGTTACAGATTTTTAGGCATGAAATTTTTTCATCAGATATAGTAGAATTGAATAGTGACATGATCAATTCAGAACAAACTTGTAATTCTACTTTCAATATTGTAAAAAAATCAACACCTCCAGTCAATTATACATCATCACCAGCGACTGCAATTAGTCTTAAGGATAAAAGTACATCAAATATTCAAGTACAACATGCTAATTCGCAATTTAACCAAATCGAATGCAATACAACGACAAATCAAAATAGTTCTTTGCATAACACCCAAGTTAATATTTGTATGCTAGATAATCAATGTTTTAATACATGCAATGGTAAAATATGCTTTAAATTATAACGATAAATCAATTTTTGTTTTTTAAGAAAATTGCAAAATTTCTTTTCGCAGAAACCGTAGATAATTACCTATTGTGAAACACGATCTGAAAGGAGTGCTGAAGTATATAGGGTAGAAATTTGCACCCACTCCTCTCCCCCCCTCCCCAGACCGTGACAGAGAAATCCTATACCCATCACAGACCATGGCAGATCTTTTGATACATGATTTACAATTATATATCACTAGAATCTCATAAGAATATATCAATTGCTTCCTTTTTGTCATTCTAGAGAATTAAGTAAGAAATGACGAATAAATGGGTCCCATGGTATATCGAAAAAACCATATTCGTGGAACTAGCTACAACAGCTACATCGTGTTTCACATTTTTAATCCCACAAGGGATTGCGCTAACAGCTTTTCTTTCACACTTCAAATTTTATAAAAATTTTTGAAATATTCTGAAGTTATTGACCGAAACTTTTTGAAATATATATGAAAGTACAACATAAGCATAGACTCACTAAAATTGTAAAGTATTATACTGTGAAACGAGCAGATTAACCATTAAAAAAAATACAAAATTAATTACATACAAGAAATTTCTCGAGACTAATCTGTCTTTAATGAACTGCTCTCGTCTTTATCAACTTATTACTCTTGAAAACAACACAACTAATTGAGCTCAAAATTTCGTCATACATGGAACATTAGAAAAAACAAAAAGATGTTTGGGAAAAAAATCTGAACTAGGTTTTGAACTTTATTGCAGCACACTAGTTTTCGTTAGATCTGTTTAGTGATGTATGATGATGCTAAGTGATTTTTAAAAATCTAAATACACAAAAACTCACTGAAAAAAAAAGAAAGTCCTGCTTTATAGACGTTCTAATGAAAGGCATGCAAGTAAAAATAAAAACGGATAATATCACCTTCCAAAAATACTTCGAATAATCAGTAATGAAAATGTGGTGTCGTTGAAGTATTCAAGAGTGTTTGACAGTGAATCGTATTGTTCGGAGAAGCAGTTTAATAGTAGAAGTCGCATACTTTGAAAAAATTGCAAAATATAGTTCATTTTTTCTTGTGAAGCATGTCTTTGTTTTGTTTTCAGCACTTTATTAATGATGAAAGTTTGAGCTTTGTCAGTTGTAACGCTTTGAAAAATCATAAAACATAAAAAAGACAAGTACTTTTCTTAATTCTCGATTTTATATAAATCATTTGCATGATTAAACTTACACAATATCTTACTTACGAAGGAACCTCTCCAGGTGTTAAATCGCTTTTCGCTCAGGACCATTGCCATTCGATAGGTCCTAGTGAGCAGTGAAAAAGTCTATCTTGGTTTGTGTGCATGGGCCTCTAGGACTGAGCTATTGAATTTTTAGTGAATTTTTCCTGCAGGACCCCAGTTTTCCAGCAAATATATTTTTTCCAAATTTTGACCTGAAACTTTGCTCACACGAAGACCTCAGCTAAACTAGCTTCCATAAAAAACTTCAGAACTTTTGAACAAAGTCTCTCCGAGATAAAAAATTTTCACGATATAGGCGCTTTTTCATAGACAGTGTATAAAACATGCATCTTTTGGAAAATTCATATCTCAGAGAGACTTCGTTCAAAAGTTCTGAAATTTTTTATGGAAGCTAGTTTAGTTGAGATCTTCGTGTGAGCAAAGTTTCAGGTCAAAATTCGAAAAAATATATTTGCTAGAAAACTGGAGTCCTGCAGAAAAAATTCACTAAAAATTCAATAGCTCAGTTCCAGAGGTCCATGCACCCAAACCAAGATACACTTTTTCACTGCTCACTAGGACCTATCGAATGGCAATGGTCCTGAGCGAAAAGCGATTTAACACCTGGAAAGGTTCCCTCGTTAGGCAAAATAAGAACTTGACGTCATTTTTGAATATTTAAAAAGAAATAATAGAATAAGTCATCATGCGGTTACTTTCGATACTACCATAACGATATTAACATTTATTTGGATACTGTCTAGTCACAAGTTCATTCGAAATATTTTGTCTAGTTAAAAATTTAGAAAATTATTACTCGGAACCGACGACATCCAATGTTAAACATAATGAAATACTTGTGACTCATATTTGTCCAAAAAATAAACGAAGAAAATCCTCAAGCAAAAGCATCAAAGCAAAACGAAATAACAAAAAACAATAAATAAAATAGATCCACATTTATTAAAAACTGAAATTTCCAAAAATGTCACATGATTGTCATCAATCTTATAATTTATATTATCCATCAGAAACATTATTTTCTTTATTTCAATATTTTACAGTAATATGAAAAAGAAAAGAATAAATTAAAAAATAATTTATATCATTTTATTGTGCTATCAATCTCTTGCCAGTAATCAATTAGTATATAACGTTCACACAGACTAACAAATTTTTGCAATTACAACATCTATATCATCAAAAATACTTTGTTTCTCTTGTATTATTTGAGTAATTCTCTTTTGTTCGACTAGACAGATAATTACTATTTGTTTACTAAAATTCAAAATGCGTCTTACATCCTGTCAATTGAGTGCCCTGGTAAAAACATCCTATGAATGATTGCAACTAAGACACTAATAATTCCGTTTAATCTATTCTATGCACTCGGTGAAAGTTAATATCGACTTTCATCTGAAATATATCAACTAGCCACGTGATAAGTAGTTTTTTATTATAAGTACTTGCATTTCTGAGTAAATTAGGGACTCCACTTCTTGAAAAAATTTTTATAATCGAAGTTCAAAGCTATATATTTTCCAGAGTAGTTTTTAGTACATTTAAATGTCCCTGTTTTATACATATACTTCCATGATCCAATAATTTTTATATTATCCATTGTACTATTTTGACTTATCAATGGTAATGTACATTCTCATATTGGTATATAATATCAATGTGAAAACATCGGACAATTACACTTACTCCATACCACTTTTAGGATAATCAGTTTTCAATATATTTCATTATAAAAAAAGTTCTTCACAATCACTTATCTAATGGTGATCAAAACTACATTTTCTACATAAATCATATTTACCTTCTTCGAATTAAAATCTTACAAAAATTCACAAGATTTGATTTCCTATGTAGTGACAAAATCTATAGAATCACTTCTATCAACGCTTCGATAATTGTATCAAAGTTGAAATGCATCTTTTAGGTATTGGTTCCGCACATTTTCTTGTTCTTCGATAAATGCCATTTCGTATTACATTCAAGACAGAATTTGTCTGCAATCAACTAATATCAATTTAGCACAGCAAGAATAAAATAAAAACTAAAACAATTATGTTCCCTTTTATAACGCTAATTATTACAAAATTATCATTGCTTGATAAAATTTAATAAGTTGCTACAGTTCACATCATTAAATAACTGATAGACTCTATGTGCCGAGAGTTCAACTTTTCAACGATTAAACATTATTCTATATCTTGAATAATCCAAAAACAATATGCGTTTTTCAAACAATCATAACAACTATACTTTGATGTCTTCTATAAAAAAGTAATATTTACTTTTATAATTTCCTACTTATACAATCTTCATCAAACAAAAATTGCAGGAGACAAAAATACCAGTTGGAAGCTCTTTCTATAGACTTGCCACTTATCCAAACGATGCTCTCGTACCTCTCAGGTTAGTCATAATACCACTGAACCTTGTCCACC